GAAGAGTAGAAAAGATATATAAGAGTCGTTCCATTCAACCTTTCCTGTTGGGATGGACCGATTCGATATTACGTATCGGTATCGCGCCGATACTGAACTAAATTACTGGATTGGATATTGGAGGGGAACCATTAAATATCTACGCAGCTGACGTAACTGTGCAGGGGCGCATCTAGCAAAGTTTAGCCAGGGGGGCCGATAGGGCATTAACAGGGAAAAGGGGGCACAAAGACATACTTTTCTTTCTTATTCTCATTTGAAATGTCGAGCTTTTAATAAATAATTATCAGAGTTTTACACCCAAAGTCTTCATCTGATGTAAAATGTATAGAAGTCCATTACTGTATATAGTGACTGTTAAGTCTAATATACCCTAGTAAGCTAGAGTACTTTTTCCTTTGGGAAGGTACCATCTGTGCAGTCTGCAATTTTGTTGAAGAAAGATGTTGAATCTATTTAATTATTGTTGAAAAATAATTTCTGTGCATTTTTTTAACACATGCATTAAATTAAAATTGGGGACTGGTTCACTTTTTTTTTTTGCTGGGAGTTTGCAACCCTGTTAGTTAGGTTGTTTAATATTTCTGCTAAGTGCTCTTTAAAATGCCAGAATAGGGAGGATGCTGTAGGTTTACGTTTATGAGATTGATCAGTTTTGCTGAACTATGAAATATTTTAATGGTGTATTTTTTGCATACAGGTTTAACACAATAGCTTTAGTGTTTTTTGTTTGTTTGTTTGTTTTGTTAAAACTTGAGTATGAACTTTTCCAAATGCAGGAAGATGTTTAAAAAACAGTTTTATTGATTAGAAACACACTGTATCAGATTCACATCGGTATCGGCAGATATCCAAATTTATGATATCGGTATCGAACATAAAGTGGTTTGGTGCCATCTCTAGTTTCTTGTTGATCGGCGACTCTTCAGCCGGCTCGGCTCGAGTTGAACTAAACAGCGAGTGGGTACCATGTGTTTGACATGTGCTAATGAAGGAAAATGTAGAGATTGTATACTTGGGTGGAAAATAAGAACACAGTAATGCTGGGAACAAGAGCAGAAAAGGGTCTCTCTGATGTGGCTCTAAATGCAGAGAGGAAGACCATCCGTGCAGGAGAGCCGATGAAGTCAAAAGCACAGAACGTTACCAGACTGCTGCTCTTCCTCTCTGTATTTAGTTCACTCCTCATCAAGATCCATGCAGCTCCGGGCCTCTTTTGTGTGCGTGTAAGTTGGCGCCTGAGCTTTATTTAAAAGGTGCTCGCTGCCAGGTTCTCCCTTTGTGTGAACCAGCTCAGGTACAGCACGAGCCACGAGCGCTAAAATATCTTTATTATTTCTGCTCTTCATAAAGAACGTGAGAATGGACGGGAGCGCCACGGAGCGCATGAATTCATTCTCCAGGGATCTTCTCCAGTTGTCTAGTAGATCAAGTTGGCACATAATATTAACATTAATAGCCATCTTATCTCCTTTGGTTAAAAACTGGAATTCAAGCATTGATTTGTGTGCATTGTTGGATAATATGTTGAGGTCTCTCTCCCGTCCACCTATAGATTGTATCATTTGTGGATAATAATAGAAAATCGAGTATTTTGAATTATTTTTCAAGGCTCGATTCCCATAAATTGAGTTTGAGTGATGCTTGGCAGACACAGCAGACTAATGTTCCACTAGGGCTGCCACGATTAGTCGACTAGTCACGATTATGTCGACTATTAAAATCGTCGACGACTGATTTAATAGTCGACGCGTCGTTTGAAGCTTTGTAAGATCACAAAGACGCAGGAATGAGTAGCAGGATTTAAGAGTGTAATAACGGACTGAAACAGAAGATGGCAGCACTGCATGTACAAGGATGCCAGCTGCCGTTAAACCCCGAAGAAGAAGAAGAAGCTGTGTCCCAGAATTCATAGCGCAGCCCAGCTCAGTTGTCAACAATGGCGGCAGCTGGTTAGTTTTAACTTTACTCTTATTATTCTTTCTGGGTCACAAAATAAACGTTTAACATATTTTCAGGGAGAATGTAGCTGTGTAAACCTCAAATATCTGCTCAGTTTATCAAGACACCACATATTTTCAAAAGCGCTCCGACGTTTTCGGAGACGTCTGTTACCCACTAGCTCGTTAGCTAGGCGGGGGCAAGGCTAACTAGAGCCGTGAGAACACCGGACTCCCGGCAAATCGTTTTCAAACCCACCGCCGTCTTTCGCTAGTCAGGTTAAACACATATATAAGTCACTTAGATAACTTAAAAATGTTATTGTTTGGCTTTCTTTAGTATTTTATTTGTTCCTGAGTAAATCGGTTTGGCTGAGATTAAAGTTATAGTTTTTGCACAGCTAAAACTGTCAAGCAGACAGCTGATTATCAGAAGTGTGAGACGCTGGAGAATATACTCCGGTGTCCTGTTATATTTTAGAAAGCAAGGAGTTTATTAAACTTCACCGAAACAATCTGCAAATTTCATTAAAAAATTAACTACCATCTTGTCTTTATTTTTTAGTTAGCACAAACACTTCAAGCTGTAAGCTAATGATAGTTATATAAGACCAGATGCTGCTGGTGCAATAAGCTGTACGCTGTACGTCCAGTGGATGATGATCTGATTAATCGCAAAAATAATCGGTGACTAGTCAACTATCAAAATAATCGTTTGTGGCAGCCCTATGTTCCACCCTGCTGTGCTACGACTGGCCAACACCCGACGTCCTCGCCCTGCAGTTTCAGGAAGTCTGTCAATCACCCTTTAAAGAAAACTGTGTGCGTTTGTTTTCCCAGGTACACGATGTGCTTCGTCTATAATAAAAGCAGGTCGACAATTATTCAGCAGGTGAACATGAAAATATTGATAGTGGAAACAACTTCATGGGCCGAAAACTCAGCTGCTGTAGTGCTATGTGGCACGCACAAATGGAATCTGTGGGCAACACTGATCATAGCTGTGCTGGAATCACAAGTCGAACTGGTTCAGAAATCACATGATCATTGAAGGCGCCGCCCTAGCAGCCTCCTGTCGACTACAATAAAAGAAGATTAACATGATTAGACGGCAGGTACTAGCAGTAGGAGTTTATTCAGAGCTCCTTTGGCCCGTTAAGGCTCCAGGGTTGAATGCACTCAGTGCACTTGAGTAAATTTAGAGATGTGCAGACCTTTATTCCCTCTGTCCAGTCACATGGTTGAAGAGCAGCTTCAGACTCATAATCCAGTGAATGTGAACCTTTTAGAAAGCGTCAGCGATTACTTCAAAACAGATTACGTTATTTATTTATCTGCTCAGAGCGGTTGAGATGAATTTCCGTTCTGTGGGATTAGCCACAGTCTCTGACATATCATGTCATAAACCATATCAAGAGGTCATAGGGGCCGGGCGACATGTCAGGGGTCAATCCTCCCATCTGCTCCCAGCTCTGATGAAAGTCTTTCGCAGAGGATTTCCTCTTCTGTTTGATCCGCATGTTCTCTCAGAGGGGAAATAGGAAACCCTTTTAATATCCTTCACATGAAAATCCCCCAGTCAGCTGTTAAAGAACGAGGAGTCAGATAGCATCAGTACATTTCTGCAAGTTGATCAAAGTGTGTTTTGCTTTTCTTCATTTCCTGTCTGTCGTTTTTTGCGTGGAGTTCCCGAGGCACTCGGTGTTAAATGCTCAGAATGCGTTCGCTTTGTTGTCGAAATGAGCAAGGCTAACGCGGCTTTGATGGTATGAAGGAACAAAAAGGGCTCGTTTTTCTCTCAGCATATCTTTGATCACATCAGTGTCTCTTTTTTGTTTGCCTACCTTTACAGCTCTTTTTTTGGGTCGTCCTCACACACACACACACACGATTCAGCAAGCGGCTCTTATCTCCTGTTGCAGAGCAGGGGTGGGGAACTCCAGGGCCGGTGTCCTGCAGGTTGTAGACGTGTCCTTGATCCATCACAGCTGATTTACATGGCTTAATGACCTCCTCAACATGTCTTGAAGTTCTGCAGAGGCCTGGTAATGAACTAATCATTTGATTCAGGTGTGTAGACCAAGGGTGAGATCTAAAACCTGCAGGACCCCGGCCCTCGAGGCCTGGAGTTCCCCAGCCCTGTTGTAGAGTCTGAGCAGGAACAAATGTTCATAATGTGACCTTTTCCTGTGGGTACTTGATGCTGAAGTGCTGAAGATCTTATCATCTTCTTGGTGATGTTATACCAGAATTTTCATGTACCGATGATCTGCCTTGGAATCATTTCTGTATGTAGCACTGCTGCCACGGGTCTGTAATCTTTACCATTTCTATAGTTTTCAGATATTTTTGAGGTCTTGTCAATCTTTCTCTTTAAATACAGACCATATGTCCTCCTCTGAATGTTTTTCTATAAAAAATGTAAAAAGCAGAAGAATAGACATGGTGGCATTTCCACTAAATGACAATAAACAAAAATACACATTAAAAAATGTCCAGAAACTGATTACTTTTCAGTAAAAATAGGGTGAACTCCAAGTTCTTGTTCAGGATAAAATATCGTTTGATTTTGGGTCGCGGTGTTTGACGTGGGCGCAGGTTCTCTGTCCGTGTTTCCACCAGCCACGTAGCGTTCAGTAGGATTAGGATTAGTGCTCCGAGTGCGGCTGCTTTAACGAGCGCTAATTGATTTGTAACTGAGGATGTGCTCGGCATCGCTGCAGCAGAGCTCGGGTCAGGAAGGACGACATCATCGGGTCCTTTCATCAGGAGCAGAAGGATGCACTGCTCCGGCTGCAGATTTTGGGAACTTCCTCGACGCTGTGATGCGTGGCTTCCCGTCTGCCGCCCACCGTGGGCAGCAGGGATCTCCCACTGAGTGATTAGTGCAGGCTTTCCAACTGTGCTGTTTGGTCTCTGTAAACAAACACAATCCATTTGTTTGCCTGTGCTGTAACAACAGCTCATTGTTTGTGTGCTGAAATCGCTGACTTCAACAGTTTCAGCCAAAGGATGTCAGTCAGTTTTAACACCCGCCCTGTTTCCTCTCCTGTCTTCCAGAGCCATGCTGGAGTGACCCGTCCAGTTCCTGTCGATCCAGGGTGACCAGTGAGCGGCTTAAGGTGGATCGCATCATCATGGAATAATAGCATTGGGAGTCAAAGCTCGACCTCTTCCTCCTCGTCCTCCTCCCCCTATTTCTTTTTCTCTCAGCCTCACTCTGTACTGAAGCCTCCCCCTAACAAACACTCACCCACCCACTCACTCATGCAGGACCCTTCTGACCACTCCTCCCACGCAAGTCACGGTCCACTCCCACCGTCTCTCCAGCCAGTCAGGCGGTGAGCGGCTGGAAGCCGTGTAATCCTCTGTAAAGTATAGCGCCTATACGGCCGCATATGCTCCCCTTTGTCATGGCGGCTGTTGTTGTTGTGGAGGCCTCCCTCAGGAGAGAGCAGGAGGGACAGCAGAAGGCAGCATAAAGCTCACAAAGGCAGGAAGGGTGAGAGAAGGAGACGCTGCAGATTGTTCGGCTGGAGGCGAGTGAACTTCACAGGGCAGCGGATGGTGCTCAGTCGGTGTGAGACTCCATAATGTGGGGCTGGCATTATCTCCCCAAACCAAACACAAAGTGGACCAACAGTCAGCTCTGGAGATACCTACCACCTGCTGAGCAGCAGCGGGCAATGCAGTGAGGACAAAGTGGACCAGATTTTTTTCTTTTCTTTTTTTGTGTCTCAGTGTGGAATATTTTTCTACTTTTGTTCTGTTTGGAGGTCTTTGTGCTTACAGCCTACCAAAAGTGCCTTTATGTGTGACATCGCCGCGTCTGACATACTGAAGTTAAATATTTCACAGATTGTCACTCACTTGACATTCGCCGTGCGCTGCCATATTCTGGATTATATAGGAAGGAAAAGGCTTGACGCCACCCTCCACTAACCCTGACAATCATCACCTGCTACACCCGAGCAGCAAGTTCCACCTGTCTCCACTGGACCCATCCGAGCCGTCACCATGTTCAGTATTCAGTCCAAATGGCGCTACCTTATCATGTTCCTGGGCATCCAGCTGGTGGTGATGGCGCTGCTGTCCCGAGAGGGATACCAGAAGAGGGTCACTTACTTCATACGCATCTTCCGCAAGCCAGACGGGGGCGCTGTATCAGGCCGCAACCACACCACACCCACGATCAGTGGAGGGGACGTATACGCCAACCTCTCCCACCTGCCCAAAGCTCACGGCCATCGAGACGACATGCCCTACTGTCCCAAAACGTCCCCTCTAATAGGTGAGTGCTCATGCCACGTCTTCAGTGTCGATCCAAAGGTGGATTGGGCTTTCCTCCGTTTACCCTTAAATAGATGTTGAGTTAAGTGGATCCATCGTAAAGGTCTTAGACAGCGATTCATACTTCAGGTAACCCTTAAAAGTTGAAGCTTGAATCTCTTGTTTAAATAAAGTATTTGGGACTTTGCTTCCTTGTAGGGCTCCGTGTAGCCTCTGAAGGTAATGCAGGCGAAGTCCCTAAAATTCAGCTCTGATTGATGAAACGTTATAGGTCATGAAAGTTTTTTGGCTTGTGAAGTTGAGCCAGTTGAGGTGGTTCAGGCATCTGACAAGGATGCCCGCTGGGCAAGCTGTTCCAGGCTTTCCCTGCCTCGGTGTCCCTCCAGACAGGCTGGGAGAGGGAGGTCTGGGCTTCTCTGCTTATGCTGCTGCGCCCACGACCCGGCCCCGACAAGTGGAAGAAGGATGGATGGAAATGTGGCTGTAATTGAACTTGTTCAGCTGTAGATTAGATGCCATGTTTTGGTGCAGGTGCCCTCGCCGGCAGTCAGCTGAGTGTGAGCGAGGACTGAAGTGCACTGTTATGATTAAATGTTTCACCCTCACTACTGTAGTGTCTCATATGCACAAGTTAGTAACTTCTGATTTTGTCTCACCTTTATTTAAATATAGTGTAAATATTCTTGTAATAAACAGGAAAACTAGACACGAGCCTCACTGCAGGGTTTTTCCTTTTTTTGCATATTTGAGTCACGTGACCTTTTTTTTTTTTTCCTGTTTAGCTCTGCGTTCACTCTCAGAGAGGATAAACAAAACCGGTGGCATTGACTTAATATTAACTGAAGAGAAAATGGAAATGTATGCAGCACTTTTGTGCTTTTCGTTCCCCTGTTATATAAAAGCAGTATGTTTGTTCCTGTGGCTGACAGTCATGTTAAACATCATTTGAGTCAATGCGAGTTTGCAAGTAATACCTGTGAGCTGGAAGCTCTAATCACTGTTCTACAGCTCTGGCTGCTCTCGGCTCCTGATATGGTTGTCATCGAGCACAGAAGCCAAACCTACCTGCTGCACAAACCTTCTGTTTTGAGGAGGCAGCCAATCAGAAGAAAGCTGGATTAAATGGAGCGGAGTCAAAACAGCTTGTTTCAGACAGAAATGACTCGTTAAGACGATGTTAATGAAGATGTTAAATAAATACATTTAAGAAGTGGAAATAAAGAATAACAGCTTGTTTACTCTCAGCTGTGTGTCATTAACACCAGCCAACCAACCACATTTTTGGCGTAACCCAACAATAAGTGGCACAAACCGTCTCTCCTGCATTCCAAACCAGTGTTGCCTCAGAGCAGCCTCTGAACACGTGTCAGCGCGGCGCCATCACGCTAAATACCCATTGTCAAGAAGTTTCTACTGGTTCCTTCTGCTGTATCTTCAAGAAAAGAAACTGCAGAAGGAAAGTGAAGATAAATCCAGTGAGTGATAGAGGGTTTAAGTAAGAGAAATATTTCAGTTCACATTAAACTTAAAAAACATGTTTGTCCTGACCCAGACACGGGCTCAGAGCCTAACCAAATGTTACGTTTAAATGCTGTCCCTTTGAAATCAGATTTATTATCCGTGATGTAACATCTGGCTTCTGAGTGCCTTTTAGCTTTGAACCTGAAATCACGCACCTGGTTTCAGGTTTTATATAAAAATAGTTTGTTTTTCTCAGCGTGCTCTCTGTGTGGGTCCTTTCTCAGGATCAGTCCAGTTAGAATCAAAATACCTGTGGAGATGAGATGAGATTGACCTGGTTCAAGTTGCCTCTCAGGTGAAGCCTGTACACAAACTCTGACCCCACAGCTGATCTGCACTCAGGTTTCCTGAGTGTGTGTGGATGGTAACAAAGTCAGTTTTATTGCCTCCAGTTCACTTTAGTTTCAGTTTTTGTTATTGTCCTTATGGATAAAAGTCAAATACGGTTCTCACGTGTCACTCTGACCTCTTTAAAAATATTTAAATGTTCCTGCATGTTTCCCGTATGTCTGTCTGATATACAGGAAAGGATCTGTGTTTGATCACTAACAGGCTGGGGAAGGAGCGCCTGTGTGATCTTAGTGTCTAAAGGGTGTGACACAGTCGCTGCTTTTATGGTGCAAAGTTTATGTCCATCAATCATCTATAAAAACATGACGCTGCAGAGGGGTCATGACCTTCTCCACCCTTTTTCACCTGCTGTGGGGAAAGTTTCAGTCAACTCTTCATGTGAGTCGATGTCATCAAGTGAGCGCGCCTTACATTTCCTCTGGTTGTCATATTTCAGTGATTTTGTCCTTTCTGTAAAACAGATGTTTTTGTGGGGACATTTCAGTGCGCTGACAGTCGTGTAGGCCACGTCTTTGGCTCTGTGGAAATGACGTGTGCACAATAAACGTAAGATGCCAACCGTACGGCTGCCATCAAACCACTGAGCTCTGTCACACCGTGTGACGGCACCATAAAGCTTGTGACAGTTTTCCACCTGAAGAGGTCTTTTATGCTCCGTGTTTGCCAGGATTTGACGTTAAAAGGAAACTGCTCTTTGTACCAGGAAGCTTTGACTATGAGCCCTGAGCTCACTGCGCTCTACTTGAACTCTTCTGTCAGCTCTGTTCCAGCTACGCCGTCTAAACCCAGAATCCTGCCGCATGTTTAATCAGTAATTTGAAACCACTTGAAGACCATGAATTGATATGAGGGAAGAAAAAGACTCTTGAAGAAAAAACAAAGATGTTCGTCGCTGTAACACAAAGACAAACGAAACCTGCTGGAGGTTTGAGCGGCTCTGGTTCCTCCACTGGAACAGCTGAAAGGCTCGGGCGGGGACATTTGTATTTAGTCAGTTTGAAAACAGAAATCTGAAGCTTCCACGATGAGCTGACCTGGGTAGGCGGCACACCTGCATCTGTAACCCACCACCTGTTCACGTGATCTGATGAGTCAGCAGGCGTTGGAGCGACGTGGCTTTAAAAAAACAAACGTCAGCTTAACCTTGATTAATGCAGGGTGTGTGTGTGTATATATACTTTTAATATAGTGACAAATTTTCTCTCCTTTTATAGATATGTTTTTCTGTCCCCCTGACCTCAGGCGGGCGGCTGGACGAGCAGCGCGTGCAGGATTGTCAGACTGATCTCTACATTACAAACACGGCTGACTTTGTGCTTTTAAAGCTGACGTCTGACTTAATGTCATTTCAAAGCTTGATGTCACAAGGACGGCTCTCGTACCCTGACCACATCATTTGCTTTCTGTCCGGTAACTATATTCATTCTTGGACGTAATTAATAACTTCTTTCCACAGGAGGGCCGATCCACGTCAGCTTCCCGTCACGCCTTAGTCTGGCCGAGGTTGAGAGGAAGAATCCGCTGGTGGTGCGCGGAGGACAATACAGGCCGCCGGACTGTGTGGCGAGGCATCGCACGGCCATCATCATTCCCCACAGACACCGAGAGCACCACCTCAAGTTCCTGCTCTACTACCTGCATCCGTTCCTGCAGCGGCAGCAGCTCAAATATGGCATTTACGTCATCCACCAGGTTTCTGTTATTTCTATTTTACACTAAAATTCAGAAGGCGGTTGGAAATAAATTTTACTGTCTTTGTGTTAATGTTCTGATTTATAATATTTGGAGTATTGAGGGTTTTTATTGTCTAAGGTGATGCACTAGTTGATGCTTGATAAAGAGCGCCCTCTGGTGTGTGGTCACTGGATGTGCATGTTGGATGATAAGAAATCTGAAGCAGCTCAGAGGTTTAATCTGTTTAGAGCTCACTGATGTTTCACTCTCAGCTCTTTATCTCCTGCGCCTCTTGAGCTGGATCGTACCATCACACTCTGTGATGATGTTCAATTAAATGCTTTTATAAATGATATTTTTATTAGTTTTGCTCAGCTGGATTCAGGCACATTCTGATAGTGCTGTTAAATGTGTGTTTAATGTGCTGCTAGCTAAACTTTCTAGTTCTGGTTCATTGGCGTCTTATTTATCAGTTCATGTTACACAGCTGAGTCGTGGCCCGCGGTCACAGGACTCGTCGCTCCATCAGGTCTCTCCTGGGAATGAGACACTGGGTCTCAGTGGGACTACCTGTGGAAAAGTAAATGAATAAAGTACAAAAAATGTGCGTTTGGTCCCGCTAGATCGTAACTCCCAGTGGGCGGGGCTTATGTCTCCTTTGTTCTTGGATTCTCCAGCAGCGCGTCGGTTCATCCTGTCTGAAACAAGCTCCTCCTCCTTTTATGCAACAGTCTTCTGATTGGTTGCTCGTTTCACACAAACTCCCTGAAATGCTTTTAAAGTTTACCTCACTAATCCCTGTTTAGCACAAACATCACAGCGTTTCTGTGGCTGAATATTTGACCTGCTGAAGTCTGTTGTGCGTCCTCCTTTGAGTGAGAACGTCTGGCTTTGTGCATTTTTCATTTACACAAATATTCCGTTTAATCTTGTTTCACGGTGACGTGAAGAAACATTTGTGTTTTTCTTCTGCAGGCTGGAAACTACACCTTTAACAGAGCCAAGCTGATGAACGCCGGTTTCCGGGAGGCCATGAAGGAGGAGGACTGGGACTGCCTCTTCTTCCATGATGTGGACCTCATTCCAGAGGACGACCGGAATACGTACGTCTGTGACTCGAACCCCAAGCACGCGGCCATCGCCATGGACAAGTTCGGCTACAAGTATGTCTGAGAACGACCGATACATGTCGTGGTTTCAGTGCAAGCTGTAGAATGAAGTGCTGTATGAAAGCAGTCCTGTGAGTGGGCAATATTTCACTTTAGTTCAAATAAACCAACCAATAGAAAAAGTCCACAAGCCTTCTCAGACAGCCCTCATTTGTCCTTCAGTGTAGCCCCTTTTCCATTAGCACCTGCTCGGATCGCCACTACAATCCGGTTCTACCTAACATGCATGGTTGTCCTCGTAGCGACACGTCCGAGCGTCCTGCGACGTGACTAATATGCGGCACGAACGCTACAAAAAAGTGGATGTCGAGGTGACGATATGCCTGCTGCTCTGTCTGTGGCTTTTCATCAGACTCGGAGAACACGGCCTTGTTTTTGTAGCCGTTCCCGTCGTTGCCAGGTTTCAAAAATGGCGGTTTCATGATGACTCATCGAGTGATACTGCTGACCAGCCAATCACTGGCAAGCATTCTGATGACATCACATTTCAGTACCTGCTCAGATCGCTTGGGGACCCCGAGAGAGCAGATACTAAAAGAAAGTACCTCTACCCGGTGCTGTGACCTAATGGGAACCCCTGAAAACCGTGGCGACCCAAACGTAGGTGCTGATGGAAAAGGTGCTGCTTTGCTCCAGAGTGTAACACTGGCTCAGCCAACACATTTAGATATTAAAATGAAATAAATTCAGATAAAATGTCCTGAAAAAACAGGATGAGTTGATTAGAGCAACTCGATAAAATGAATTAAAATATAATGTGACAAAAATGTGTCATGATGTCAGTTGTAGAAAAGGTTGCATTTAAAAAACAAATAATACATAAATAAAGCAGCAGAATAGTAAAGTTGTAAAGGTACAATAAACCTTACTGTTAATGTCGTTTTTCTATATGTAATAATTAATGTGCTAAAGAGCTCTGTAACTAAAAAAGCATCTATAATGTGTCCAAGTGAAATGTATTGAATATAATCTCTGTGGTAAAACGGTCCAATCAGCAGAATAAAGCAAAAATAACTTGATGAGTGAAGAATAAAATAATAATATTCTATCAGTGCAGGGTAGAAATACCCAGATGTTTCTCTGCTGGACAGATGTGTTGGGATGTTTAAAGTCCTTACTGGAGGGGGCCTGAGGTAAAGAAGGGCGGGTTTTACTCGAGCTCGTCCACCCCACGTGGTTACTGTTGATTTGCTTTTATCTTTACTTGAATTTTATCTATACTTTAATTTGAAAACATTTCCCTTGACTTGAAAGTGTTTGTGCACTGCTGTAGTTTTAAATGAGTTACAGAAATAAACTTGGCTCAGTGAAACTTTAGCTTCTGTGTTTGCTGCATGGACCCGGCGACTCTGCAGAAGCTGCATGTGTGTGTTTTATTATTTAAATGCCAGAGTTCAGTTTCCACACACCTGCCATATATTCTAACCTGTCTGACCAGCACAGAAACTAATAATAAAACCCTGATGCTCTTTATTCCGCTTTTAATTTGTCTTGTTTTCTAATCCTAACCCTCTCCAGGCTTCCATACAAGATGTATTTTGGAGGCGTGTCCGCTCTGACGCCCCTGCACTACCTTAAAATGAACGGTTTCCCCAACAATTACTGGGGCTGGGGCGGCGAGGACGACGACATCGGAGTCAGGTGAGCATCGTGCGGTTCGGTTTCAGGGTTCCTCATAGGCTCCACATGAAGGAGCGAGGCAGCCTCTGTCATATTGCATTTTATGCGCTCTCGCATCCATAAACTGTCCGGAGCAACAGTAGAAACCTGTTATTGATCAGGTGAATTCTCCAACAGTCACCAAGAGCACAAACATGGTCCAGAGATCCTGACACAGCTGAGTCAAACATTACTGGAGACCGAGGCTGGATGTCAGTCAAAGTGACCCCGCCCCTGAATTTAACCCGTAATCATGTGGGAAATGCTGTGCGTGTCCTCAGTGATCAGGAGGGGTGATCGGTCTAACGCTTGTTTCTGGTCTCCACAGAGTCTCTCTGGCTGGCATGTACATCACTCGTCCTTCACTGAAGGTGGGCCGGTACAAGATGATCAAACACAAGCTGGACAAAGGCAACGACGTGAACCCAAAGAGGTACTGCGGCCCGAGTGCTCGCTGGGATAACGAGATCTCAAGTCTGAGCACAGAAACGACCAGACGTGACTCGCTGGCCATAGTTGGATACCAGAGTTAGACACACGCTACGTCACAGCTAGCTGGAAGTTGGGCTGCGTATCGTCACAGATTTCTAGAATTGATTCGATTTGAATCGAGGACATTTTGCTTCAGTCGGAAATATTATGATTCTTATCATTTATCAGTACATATACATATTTTTATATCTATAAAAAGAAAGCTGACACTTGTGAGACTTGATCAAAGGTGTGAGCATCACAGCAAATGCCTTTGTGTCAAAGAACTGGGGATAAAACTACGGAGCCCCGCAGGGGACATGGGAGAAAAAAATTAAGACGGAGATCTCACAAAAGTCCGTCTTAATTTTTTTTCTCCCATGTGCCCTGCAGGGCTCCGTATAAAACAGAAAAACATGAAGGAGATTCTTTTTTATAGCAGATGACCTTAAAAATATTCAGCAGTAGATCAAAAACAAAAGAAAACCACGAATCAACACGTGAACATGACCTGATGCTGCTGACGTGAAGCAGAGCAAAGTTAGAGGTTTGATTGGAGACACAGCTGAGCGTTTTGCAAGTTTGCATAAATTTAAACAGTTTAAATTTCTTCAGTATTGAACAGCAGAAATGAAAAAGTCATTTAAACCGCAGCGGCCGACAGCGCTGTAAACAGCTGTAGACTGGTGGGTAACAAGCAAGCGAATGGGAAACAGTTCTTGAAGTAAACGGCGAGAGAGAGAGAGAGAGAGAGAGAGCTGTGCATGAAGTGGAGGCAAAACAGCAAATCGGAGGGAGTTCATGACGACGTGTATGTGAAGCGTAGTTTGCTCTTCTTTGGCTGCTGGTTCAGTCAATTTTGACTGAAGAAAGATGAAACCTGCAGCTTCAGAATCTATCGCGAAAAAAGACGTAAACGCGGAGCCGACGCATCTGATGTTAGCGAGCTTCATTATGTACATTTTGTCCGGAGCCTGAATGATGCAGATTTTGAAGATATTAAAACCCCACACTCCAAAACATTTCCTTCTTCATTCCGACACACGCGTCCTGCAAAGGTTTCCATACTTTCCCGACTCTTCTCGGGTCAGCTGGTCATTTTTCCCGTTATTCCAAACAGTCGTGCATCCTACAGGGATTTCCAGAGCGGTGCCACATCATCACCTCTAACATGTGTTTCTCCTGCCTCCCTTTGCATTTTCATTTGTTGGCATGTATAAATGCTGATACCGATGCAGATCGGCAAACTAAAATTAGTCTTTGTTGTTCAGCGTTGGAGCTTTAGGGCAGTGGAAGCTGGAAACTGTATCTTCTAGATCGTCTAAGGAGCTCGAAGTAAAAGAATCTGGACGTCTTTAAGTTTCTTGAAGATGTTTAAACTCTCATCCGAGACGCTTCTTCAGTTCTGAGAGTAAACGGTGGAGCATCTCAGGCGTTTAACCCTTAAGAAGGTCGTTGACCAACTATTGGTCATGTGCCTCATCACATGAGCGACGGTGCGAAAAAAGGTCATTGTCAGCAGCGGTTTTGGGCGAGCTCATTGTGAAACCTAGCCCCACCCTATCATGTGACTGAAAGATGGCCATGGACATAGATGGCTTCTTTCACTCCTGTTTCAAACATCCTCAACGGAGTGACCTTTGACCTTTAGGACAGAGAGGTGTAATGTCTTCAAGAAACCTAAAGAAGTCCAGACGCTTTAGTTTCGTGGCTCCTTAGACCACGATGAACCTTCAGACATCTTTTAGAGCAAACCTGGTCCTGAGTAAATTACAAGTGAGGCCACAGGCTGTTTTTATTTAAGCCAGATTACAGTCTGCTCACATGTTTGCTTATGGACACCTGTCTACTGTCTACTGTACTCTCGAAGTGGAAAAGTGTTTGTTTGTTTGTAAACAATGAAACAACGAGGTCATGATTTTGCTGTAATCGAGCCGCTGTGCTGTTTCTCCTGGAAGAGTGAAGATGCTCTGCTTCGTGTGTCTGTCAGGTTCAACATGCTCGCTAAGACGCGTCAGACCTGGAGGGCGGACGGGATGAACACGGTGGAATACGAGGTCATCTCGCGGGAATATCTGCCCCTGTACACCAACATCACCGTGAACATCGGCACGGAGGCCGGCCTGCACCCGCCGCCCCGGACTCCCGGCTCCGCTCCCAAAGCTGAAGCTAAAGACGCCGCTGAAAAGCTCAAAGAGAAGTAGTCCTCGCTACTCTCACTTCAGACGGATAATCCTATCAGTACATGCTGTATGAAGGTGTTGGGCTTTTTTCCTCTCGATTATTTCTTCTGTAAGTTTTGTCGCCCGAGTGTCGCTCCGCCTTCACGTCGTCGGGCGTGCTGGATGATGAAACCCCTAAATCTGTTAAAGATGGATCAACTCTTCTAAGTGATGTGCCGCTTCCTCCGGTCCTGCTCTAATTTATTCTTCTGAGGGAGCCGCAGCCGAGAGAGGGGGGCGGGGCTAACAGTTGGACTCTATGAGTTTATATATCTGCAGCGCTGTGGTCGCTGGTTTAACCGTGTGAGGCCTTAGAATCTATTTTTTGTCTCGTCTTTTCACTCGTACCTTACTCTACCGAGGATGGTGGATTTGAAGGAGCAGCAGTCGCACTGTGTCAGACTCAAAGCACCGAAGGGGTTTTCTGTGCTTCTGTTACCGTCAAGGCAAAGTTCTCGCTTCTGCACACCTGTCTGTGAACACCTTTGTTTTACAAAGACAAACGTATCTTTTAAGATTATAGATGAGTTTGTGGAAGTACAGCGGGAGTGATTTCATGGTGTAGATGAAGTTGCGGCTCCTCTTATTTCAGCCTTTTACACCATCTCCTTAAACTTCAGTATGTCTGACGTCTTCTGATTGAATTCATCTCTTCTGTCTGAGTTCAGTGGGGTTAAGCTTTGCATCAGAATGGAGTCTTTTTCTTTTCTCTGATGCTTTATATGCAGTGAATTTGGATGTGACACTAATTATCCTCAATCGGCACAAATCTGGGAAATTAAATGGAACGATGAAATTCAATGGTCACATTTATTAAGCTAATCAAACATTAGAAGAAAACTGTAATCAATATTTAAGGCCAATGACATTGGGCAATATTTGGGGTATTTTACATAAATCCTGGTGTTTTTAATAATTGTTAAAATCCTTTGGAAGAGGTTTCAAGAGATGACGACACACTTTAGTGTAATGCCAGTTACATTACGAGTCACCTTAAATAAGAACTTGTTGATGGCGCTGAATAGAAATGCAAGAAGTTGAACAAACACATGGTGGTGAAACACTGCCCCCAGTGGTCAAAGTTGTAGTTACATTTTGTAACTTTAAGGTGCCTTTAAACTATTTTAATTACTGAAACAAGAACACTGAATGATGGCCTTGCAGGAAATGACAGCGAATCATTTTGGTACAAATTATTTGAGGAAACTGGCACCTGCTTTACCGCAGCCACCCACCCAAATAGTGTTTATGAGGCGACTATGGAGGGCAAAGTTTGTGTGTGTGGGGGGGGGGGCATGCATTTATTTTTGTAATTTAAACTAAATAAATAAATAAAATGTGGTTTGAAAATGTAAACATTCAATTTTTATGTAATACAGATTATGTAGACGACATGAGGCGGACAGACATTAGCTCAGTCTTGATTATAATTGGTTAACTTGCCAAACAGACAGAATTGAAAAAACACTAATGTAAGTATGAATAATGCATGCAGGTGTTGAATATTATTTTTTTTAACAAACTGTGCACCAACACAGAAATGGCTCAAATGTAGTGTTTAACAAGAAAGTATTTATTTTCTTGTTAAATTATGCCTTTATTTTGTTAGTCCTCATTGTATCCTACATATGCCTCAGTTTCTTCCACTGACAGATCTGTGGGGGGGGGGGGCATCGTCACCAGTGAGGCTGGCTGCAAAACCAAAGAGGATGCTGACGGTGTGAAAAGCTGTGAAATAATAAAGTATAGTCCAAATATTTGTGTAACACTGTCGGTGCAGAAACGCTACAGACCACACAGTAGTTTTCAGGTATCAGACAGAGACTGTATGTAAAAGATGGCAGATGTGTGGACTTCCTGTTTCATGTGGCGGTCCAGAATGAGCGGGCCTCTGAGGAGTCGCAGAACCAGCATGTACATTTATTAAAGTAAAAAAATTTTTTGATGGGAAGGATTGATGTGATGTCACAGTGGCTCCGTCCATCATTTATATACAGTCCATTATGTACGATGCGATGAACAGGAAGCAGTCAGTCCCCTCGACTGGCTCCACATGTTAGTGCAGTCCTGTTTTTGGGGCCACCTGCTGGTCGTTAGAAAAGATTGCAGGTTTAAGGCACGATGCTACAGCCATCTTTTATATACAGTTTGTGGACTGGGATCATTTTTGATGTTTTTTGTTTGTTTTGCTCTGTAAAGACCTTCGTTTTGTCCTGTCCTGTGTGAAGACTATGACTTTACTCTGAAATCATATTCAACCTTTGGCCTTACACACTCGTATAATATCACCTATATATCTGTACTGGGAGTTGGCATGCATGGCCAAGAACAACTTAGTGCTGAATACATATCAGTGCTCACTTCAAACATATGAAGCATGCTGTGTTGTGAACTGGAAACTTGTATTTTGAGCATTTACTTCAGCGTATCAAGCCGCCTCTACCTGTGAATATGTTTGATTCTTTAAGCTGCTTAAACGTTTGCTTTGGTTTGACTCCGTTCTGATGTGAAAATAGAAATCCGTAGCCGCAGAATGAAGTTACCCAGGATGATGTAATTGACTTATTTCTGCGCCCCTTATGAATTCTGCACAGTCCAGAGTGGCCTTAAATTCATTAATAAATGATTACTCAAGAAGACGTGCTGACTCTACTTCTTTGGGGGTGAGTGTGTATCATAACTGATAACCGCCAGCCAATCAAAAATCACTTATTCAGCAGCTTTCAGTAAAAACCAAAGTTAAGGGGCTTTTTTTAAACATTTACACGTCTTACATTTATGAGAAAGACTGGCAAAGTTAATAGAATAAATGACACATTTATTAGGAAAAAACCAGCAAAATTCTGCAGAAAATTTGGAAAATTAATAATAAAGCTGGTAGAAGGAAGAAGCCACGCTAACACAGTATGTATGAAATGTTCACATTTAATGAGAAACATTTAAAGAGGAATTTCTACAACACATTTTTCCACTGAGGACTAGTCTCGTCGCACCTGATTGGCTCAGCAGTTGTTGGTTGATCGAGTCCTGAACCAGCTCCACTTTTAACCTGTACGCACCTAAATGCATATCTGTGATAATGTGATATGTCTCACCGCTGAAACCACCACTAATATAGGAGCACGCGTAGGAGTCCTGTCACACCCCCGAACTCAAGGTGGTGAAAGAGAATTATTTAAAAAGCCACGTGTGTGGGATTACTTTAGTTTTGGAGCAGGTGAAACTCGGGCCTTGGTTTCCAGCCTCAAGTTGGAGTGCAGTTGACATATGCTGTGTAATGATTGGGGTGTCCGATCTTTAATATGTTAAAAAAAGTAGCTTTATAATCTATCCTGGACTCAGAACTGTGCAAAGATGGGACTGGAGTCATCCACACTGGTGTTCAGGTCTCATCTTCTCATATCTGAGTCTTCGTCAGCATCTCAGTAAAACTGTCCACTCGACGCACAAACCAAAGCACCTGTCCAGTTACCGGAGCCTAGGTGTCTCTTCATTGTTCCTGTTTAAACAGGTTCCACATATAACATTTGGTGCCACTAAAGACCAGGATGAAGGACGTCACTCTTCTACACATCCTGCTGACCAGCCAGGGCACAGTGTTTATGCTGCAGCATCCTGCATGGGCATGGTAGGGCAGGGAGGCCAAAGCCTTAGTGGCAAATATAAATCGTTGCACATTCACAAATGGACAAACTCTGTACAAATGGACAAACTCTTCTTGGCCCTTGGAGGTTGGGTCTATGGGGTCCGAAACAGCAAAGGTTCTGTCCGGTTCAAAGCTACTCTGCGTCTTTGTTGGCTCTGCTGCTCCTCCTGAGCATCCACAAGCAAAATCCTCAATTATTAGGCCCGCCTACTAAAGCTCGGATATTCCTGTGAGGAGGTTGTTGTGAAGTAACTCAAGAGACGTGTGTTACGACCCGGCTCTGCTAGGCGGCAGCGGACGTAACATAAACGAGCCCAGAGACCAAGGAGTTAGATAGGAAGACGAACATAAGGTTTAATAACACAACTGAAATCCGTTAGTGAAACAACACACTAGGCAGCAGAGTAACTTTACACAAACACCACGATTAATAACACCAGTAGAGCACTGCTCTACTAAACGTCTCGCAGGAGGCAACACAAAACAAAGGCAAAAGG